TAGAGGTGCCTCAGAAGGCAGGCCTGTTGATCTGCTTGCAAAAGCTCACAGCTCTGAACACTCTATGGAGAAGTTCTGCTCTGTACACATGGGGTCACCATGAGTCAAAATAGACTTGATGGCAACTACTAACAACAACAATAGGGATAACTCCTCTTTCATTCCTAATATTGATAGTTTATGTTCTCTTTCTTGTTTCTGGATTAGTCTACCTAGGGACTTAATTTTCTTGATCTTTTCAAAGAATCAATGCTGTTGGCTTTGTTGGATATGTTAGTTTTCTCAATTGTTGTCTATTTTATTTTCTATTCTTTTCCCTATTGTTTGTTTTCATCCTTTTATTTATAGTCTGTGCTCTTCTTTTCCTAGCTTTTATGGTGGAAATTTAAGTCATTGATTTTGGACTTTTTTTTTTTCCTTTCTAAAGTAAATATTTAAAACTATAAACTTCCCTCTAAGTACTGTTTTAGCTGCATCCTTACATCTCTGTATGTAATATTTTCATTATCATTTAGTTAAAAATATTTTCTAATTTCCCTAGTTATTTATTCTTTGATGTGTCGATTATTGGAAATACCTATATTGTTTTGTTGTTTAATTACAAAATATTTGGGTATTTGTAAATATCTTGTTGTGTGGACAGACCCAAAGTTTACCTCCAATGACCTCTGCCTCTGGTGTGCACACTCCGTATAATTCTCTACCCTTGAGTGTGAGCAGGGCTTGTGACTTCCTTCTAGCCAATACAAAAAACCAAAAAACCAAAAAACCAAATCCATTGTCATGGAGCCCATTCCAACTCATAGCAACCCTATAGGATAGAGTAGAACTGCCCCATAGGGTTTGCAAGGCTGTAAATATTTTTTTTTAAACATATTTTTATTTATTTATTTATGTTTATTGTAGTTTAGGAGAAGGTTTACAGAGCAAATTAGTTTTTCATTAATCAATTAGTACACATATTGTTTTGTGACATTGGTTGCCAAACCCATGACGTATCAACACTCTCCCCTTCTCGACCTTTGGTTCCCCATTACCAGCTTTCCTGTCCCCTCCTGCCTTCTTGTCCTTGCCCCTGGGCTAGTGTACCCATTTAGTCTTGTTTTGTTTTACGGGCCTGTCTAATCTTTGGCTGAAGGGTGAACCTCAGGAGTGACTTCAGTACTGAGTTAAAAGGGTGTCCAGAGGCCATACCCTCGGGGTTTCGCCAGTCTCTGGCAGACCAGTAAGTCTGGTCTTTTTTTGTGAGTGAGAGTTTTGTTCTACATTTTTCTCT